CTACAGAGGAGCGCTCATGCCACTCCTCAAACAGAGACAGAGTGGAATGAAAACCCGCCCACAACTGAGGGGAAAGCAATTCATCACACTCCTGTGACTTTGCCGCTGCATGAAGGTGCCCTCTTGAAACTTTTATCTACTTGTTAAAGTAAGACAAATATTTCCTTAAAGCTGTGGTGAGTTGGGATGAACTTCTAACATGATTAAGAACCCCAAAATCAAGAGAAAAGTGCAACCGAAAGGACTTTCAGTAGATACAGACAAGAAGTAAGGAATCATTCAGAAATCATTAACCAACTCTGCAAATTCAGAGGCCAAAGCCGACTAACGCATAGCCTGGATTTGTTGAATCAGTTGAAACACTGTAAACAAACAAGTCAAAAACGGGCACACTCAAAATGTACTTGGCTCTATCTTTTACTTTTTTCTCTGTGATAGCCAATGAATGCCTTCTTCATGATTACAATTCAATCCAAACTTTTTGCAGACTCAAGGACTAGACAAAATAAGGAAAATGATGCATGAATGAATTACATACAAAAGTACAAATATCATCCATTAATGTTTTACATGCATGGAAATGTACACATGTATCCAGAAGTGGGATTAGTGTAGTGTAGTGTTTACAGCTAAATATTTCATTTTCAGAGGAATCAGGCTGGACATCAATATGTACTCGAGATTTCTTCTAACAGCTAGAACATATTGACATGTGCAGAAACAAACGAACTCTCCAAGCATCATCACATGACGTGCTACTTTTAGTCTCCTGAATACCAATAAGTCAGAGTCATGACGTTTGGACACTCCACTCCTCTTTCACATGCCATTTATATCTTAAGCTAGACATTTCACATTTTGCTTTTCATTGTTTTTGTTTTTTTTACATTTTCCAACAACTAGCCCTAACTCTTTAAGTTTGACTTCATTCTCAACATTGATATGAATAAAGCAATGCCTGAAAGCCGGTTCAGGCAGGCAGCTTTTAGCATCACTTTTACACACTTGTGAACCGTCATTCTCCATAATCACCGGACGAACACATCCTTCCAATTAAAGCTGCAATACTTCAGGTGTCTCTCTCTGCTCTGTCTTCACCTCCGCTGCCCTGGCCTGCACCACTAACTGCGCTCATACTTTCAACTCCAACATCACAGCAGCAGCATCCACCTGCAGGCTCCAGCTCAAATCTCTGCATGTATAACAATCTGTGAGCAGTGGTGAGGTTGGAGCATGGAGGCCAAACACACACAAAGTTCTGCTGCTGCAATGAAAACATTTTAAACCAGTACAACGTCTGACTGAAATGCAAAACTCAAAGAATCTACCTCTTCTTCAAACTTTTTACCGTCATGCCGGGCACTAATCCTCTTCTGTAAAATCCTTCGAACTGACAAAGATCAAGAGCCAAAAAATAACGCGCAAAATCAGGACACTCTCGTGCTGACTTCAACACAAGAAACAGTCAAATGTGAGCTCCTTCTCAGCCCCCCCGACCCGCTGGGCCCCTAAGCCATGTGCTTCCTGGTCTCTTTAAGTAATCCTTCCATGTAAGGTACTGGTGGTGATTTCAAGTCTAAAACGACCGAGGCGCACTAATGACAGCAGGAGGAAAAAAAAAAAAAAGAGAAAGAAAGTGCTGCAAGTGGAGTGCTGCCTTCAGCGTTTCACTCAGCAGAGTGTTTACACCTGCCTGGCAGCATCTGAGAGCCGACCAGAAGCAAGAAAAAAAAAAAAGAAGCCTATCAGAGCATGTTGAACCACCTCACTTTAAAACAAAAGGTCCATTTGAACACACTCAGGCACACACTAGTCCTTCTCTTTATCTAATTGAGGCACAAAGGAAACAGCAGCTTATACCATGACACTGACTTCCTTCTTTTGAGCTTAAAACCACAAAATAAATAGAAGAAAGGTTTGAAAATGACTTTATGTTTCATGCACTGATCCTTTGTTTTGCACAGCACTCTAGACGAACATCTGTTCCTTCTGTCAAACAAACAAAACAAACGCATCGTCTAGAAATGAGTTAAAGCGCAGTTATCTCCAAACTGTGACGTTTGTCTTTCTAATTCCCTTAGTGGTTTGACTCCGGGCTGATACCAGAGGGAGCCTTTCAAAATTAAACGTCCCGAGTCAACCTCGTGGACAGAGGTGGGATTGATGCGTGCTCTCGTGAGCACCTCTGGGATCTTTTGAACGCGGGCCGCCGAGGGATTTGTCAGTCTAACGGGAGCTGACAGGAAGAGAATGAACTTTAACACCGGCAGGCTGCTTTCCCTTTCATGAGCTTCCAGAGAAAAACCCCCTGTAGTGAAATCTCACACACACATACACATACACACACACACACACACACGGTTGCTTGATAAAAATGCACACACGTGGGTGGTAACATGGAGGCACCCAGACATACTCACACACACACACACACACACACACACACACACACACACACACACACACACACACACACACACACACACACACACACACACACACACACACACACACACACACACACACACACACACACACACACACACACACACACACACACACACACACACACACACACACACACACACACAGTCAATGTTACCTTCACTCTCTTGTCTCTGCACATTCCTATTTAATCTGTCAGGCTGCTAAGGAAGACAAATGTGCTGGAGGAGAAGCTGCACGTTCGGGGGCAGAAGAAGCTCCACCAACTTCCTCCGGTGACCTGAGAATGGAGGTCGTCGCCGAGAGCTCGTTGTTTCAGTGATTTCACGCCGTGTTGCTTTCAATCACCCGCTGCAATGAAAGGTCTCATAACTCTAAAGTTAATGGGACCCGAGGACTGTTGAACAGCTGAATAAGTTGGTTTTTGTGACTCTGATTTAGCAGCAAAAGTCCTGCACAGTGGAGTATTAATGTGTGTGTGTGTGTGTGTGTGTGTGTGGAGGGGGTAGGCAGGAATGTTTTAGCAAGCCCGCAGCGAAAGATGACATAACATCCTCATTTGGATCCTAATGAAAAGTTTGATAAACTTTTGCCTGGAGTGTAGCCTCACAGCTTGTCCGTTTAATTATTTACCATTAATCGAGACTGCCTGAGGAACTACCTCATTACCCAGCCTTAGCTACAGATCAGGGCTTTTCCTGCGGGGGGGGGGAGAGTTTGACACTTTTACTGGCAAGGTGAAAAATACCCATAAAGACCAGAAAATAACATCCCTTGAATTAGTGTTTGTGCCTGTGACCATCTGACCATGCAGCAGAGATCATACATTAAGCAGCTCTGTAATTGGCTCTGGAAATCACATTATTATGTTGGTGTGCTGGCAGACCTTCATTCTGAAATAATTGCTGAATAAACAGACTTTGTGGTGACTTGAATACCCCCGGGGGTTAAAAACAAGCTGGAATGTTTTAATCATTACAAAAAGGGAAAAATGAAGGGGCACTTTTGGCCTAGTGGGTTAGGCTGGCAACCAATGTACAGAGGCTGCCGTCCTCCAAGCAGGGGGGGGGGGGGGGCCCAAGGTTCCAAGTCTGTCATGTAACTCCTTCCCCTGCATGTCACTCCCCAAATCTCTCTCACTGTCCTATCAAAAACAAACTGAAATAAATTCAAAAAGAAGAAAAAGGAGAACCTCGAAAACAAATCACTTGATAAATCTAAAGGCTTGTGTAAACTCTAAATATGTCGTGTCACAGCGAGGGGGTCAGCCTGACCTGGGGTTGGCTGAACAGATGTTTGATTTCCTGCCAGGTATCCAAGCTTTAACCTGAGCTGACTCAACATTTCTTATAGTCATAAAACATATTTCTATCCCTTTCCTTGGTTTGATTTTTTCTTTCCACACATACCAAACCACAAACTCTTAACACCAATGAATATACTGTGCGAACCTGAGGCTAAACGACAGGCCAAACACATTGTTCACTCGCACTGAAGTGACAGTAAAGTAATTGTCAGCGTGCCACGGTTTGTTTGTTTGTTTGTTCATTGAATGTTCCTGCAACCAAACCACCACCTGAGAACGTAGGTTGGCTGTGCACGGTGGACCCTGTTGGTCTTTCATATCTATAAATATGTTTACACAAAACAGCTCGTAAATGTGATTGTAGTCTCTTGGTAAAGTTCAGAGAACACCTCCCTCGGTTAAATAAAAAAAGAATCCCCTGCATGGACACAGCGGAGGCTCTGTAAACAAGAAAGAAATGAAAAAAGGCTAAAGAAGAAGATTCAGGCCAGCAAGAGGTTTTAACCTCTGCCTCTGCACACACCTCTCTCTCTATTGTAAGTTCTTCTCTATGGGGAACAGAGCTACACCATATTAAAAAGATCCTTTCCCCTTCAGCCAGCAGATGCTCAGATTCTGCTTTTTCATTTGTAGGAGTGTTTTCCCTGTCGCGCACATTGATGATAAGGGAGGTAGCTTTTGAAGGTGCACTGAAGGGAGGGTACGTGTTTGACTGTTGAGGTTAGATATCAGTGTTGCCAAGCTTTTAAACAGGATTTGTATCTAGAATCTACAAAATAAACGTTGCAGGCATTCATTTGATCTTAAAGTGACGAGATTTATGCACTTTACCTTGAAAAAGTTACGCAATGAAAGAGCAAGGTCCAAATAAAGTTGGAGTATTGGACTTCTTTGTGCAAAAGATAAAATCATCTAAGTAACAACTAGAAATCACTGCCCAAAGGCAAAAATATATAGAACCTTTTTTAATCTTCACACACAGATATTGGGTGCAAAAAATGCGACACATAAACCACTGCTAGTCAAAAATACAAAAAACGATCGTCTCATATGTAAGTTTGACTCTGTTTGGGGAACTTCTTCTGATTATTTGTGTGCGTAGTTTTAAAATGCCTAAATGTTTTTATGGTCAGTGTTGGATGTGGTGTGTTGGATGTGGATGTACCAGCTGTGACGTTGTCATTTCCTGTAAAGGATAAATGAAGTGCCTAACAACAAAAACACACAGACAATCATGATGACGATTTACCTGGCTCTCTGTGTGGTTCAGGTCAATCGTCTTGACCGTGGCGGTTGCCGTTGCCGTGGCGTCCAGATCCGTCACTCCTCTGTCGGGACTTGACTCCTCGGCCGCCGGCAACTGGACGGTCTCCTCCGCGTCGATGTCCGTCTCCTCGGTCACCGTGGGCGTCTTCTCTGCGCCTGTAAGCTCCCGGGCTGAGCCCATGAAAGTACACACACACACAGGTGGTGGATAAGCACGCACGCCTGCATACACACATGAAGGCATGAGCATGTACACACGCACACATGGGCAGACACACATGGATGCACTCAAGTCAGAAACGTTATTCATAAAGACACAGTATACATTGTGTGATTATGTGTTTCAACGGTGCAGCAGCGAGTGTTGAAGTACTCCAGATCTGTACTGAGACCACTTTGTGACGGTCTCGTCTCGGAATTGAAAGCTTTATTTTACTCTTGTCATGGTCTCAGGATTTCGGATTTTAAATCAAGGCTGATCAAGACCACGACTGATCTGCTACTTCTCCGCGTCATTAGTTGGTTTAGAAGGAAAACGCCCCTTTGTAAAACAACCAATAACTTCCCCAGTTACGGTCTAATCGAGTGACACGCCGATAGAGACGACTGGAGGAGTGGCAACCTGCCAAAACTCAAATATTAGTCTCTATTTTTGCACTCGTTATCATAAGCCACATTCACCTGACAAATCCAGATAAACATCTTATAAGTGTATCTGGACTTAATGATTATTGGACTTGTCAGGTGAGTGTGGCTCTGCAAACAAGATTTTTTTCACATTGAGGTGCTTTGAAAACAAAAAGTGCAAGAGACCTTGTTTGTTGCTGTCTCATTTAAAAGCAAACTTAAATTAAAAAAGGGTAACTCTTTTATTTATGTTCAATCTGCTGATGATTTTTCTGTGATATTTATGGTCTTGGTCTTGATCCCGAAATGTTTTGGCCTCCTCTCGGTCTGGGGCATGCTTTGGTCTCGGTTAGTGCGGTCTTGACTACAACACTAGGTGCAGCTGCTGAGTTATACAACTTTTATTTAAGCATTTCAACAGTAAAACGAGTCACAATAATACCACAGAAAGAGCTTGAATAACGATGCAAATGTAAAACAGTACAATGCTGCAAGCACTCTGGAGTTTTTAAAACAGCTTTGTCATTTCTGTTAACACATTTTTAATTGGACTAATTGGGACTATATTGGATATGTGGTGTTTTTAATGAAGAAAATGTCATTAAGAATGGAGACGAGCAACATTGCCAGTCTATAAAACAACTACACGTTTTCCTTCTTTCTTTCTGCGGTCCATACTTGATCAGTGAAGCTTTACTCCATGAATGTTCTTCTATTTGTCTGATTTAAATAAACTGAAATGAATTTAGATCCAAAGTTAGATCTGGAAATCTGCTGGCCATCTTTGTCTTTGTGGTTTATCATAAGCTTTGTTGAATCAAGTAGTAACTCCACATGAAGAAAGAAAGGTACACATTTAAACTGAGTATATAGCAACAAACATTATCAAAGATTTACTAAGTCCAAAAAGACTCTGTTCCACTCTCCTTCCTCACCGACTTCTTCTTCATCCTCTCCTTCAACCGCTCACCTTCACTCTCCGTCCCACCACCTCCACCTCCTCTTCCATTTCAACTCCCCCTTCTTCCTTCTGCACCATTAGTGCTGTCCTCCCCTCCACTTAAACTTCATCTCTAACAATCTTCAACTACCGGCTGCCAGCGCTACCCTCGCCTCCCTTTCTCTCTCTCCATCACCACTCCTCTTCCTTCTCACCCTCCCTTTTTATCCAGCGATCAGCCATCACTTTTCCTTTTTCCTCTCAATCTTCACCTCCTCTCGGTCTCTTTCCTCCCTTGAATTCTCCGGTAAAAGGTGACAAAATGGTAAGGAGAAAAAGGTCTCAGCATTGCAGTAATGCCTACTTTATGTTCCATGGTGTAGCTATTTATTTTGCAATATGAAGTCAATTTAACTAAATATGAATTGTATAAAACCACAATTACACACAGCTGGGATTTATTCAAAGTGAAATTACTTTTGTGAACCACTTTTGAGTTTAATGCAAATGCATCCAGCTGATTGACACGTTTCCTGCTTTTAAATTACTGGAAAAAACTAGAGAGAGAAAAAAGAGAAACAATGGACCTTAATAAAGCTTCTTGCCACCAGAGCATTTTTCAAACAGGTGAAACTCCATTAGAGATTTGTGCAACTATTTCCCCTTTGAGCAGCACAAGGACTTCGCCGAGTCTTAAAACTTTATCAGTCTTTTATAAATTCAGTGTGTGAACTTCTGAAGACGTCCATCAAGGCGCTCTTATCTCATGTTTTGTAGGAACAAACTCCTTGTTTATATTGCGGCAATTATAAATGGCTCTTCATGCTTTTTGGGCTCGTTATAATTCATGTTAATGTGAATTAGAATGATCATATCACTACTCCTCAGTTTGCCATTATTTTTTCTTTGAGCGGACTTCAGCTCCCCCAGTGATGTAAGCCTTTTTCACGCGTATTCGCATGTTAATGAATTAATATTATTCGTTTTAGGTTGCAGCATTTTGTGCAACACTTCTTGAAGGCTGCACAAACTTTCTGTTGAGAATAAAACATCACTTTCTCTGAGTTCCCCCCCCCCCCTCTTTTCTCCTGACTCCCTGCTGTGCAACCCAGTTCTCCATCCCCTCTTTTCTTGTAAAATTCACTTGTACACTCCATCTTCTCCCGCTCCTCTAGTCCTCCATGATCCACAGTTCATTCCCCCTCTGATATCATCCTCTTCTTCCTTCCTTCCTATGTGTGCATTCTTCCAGCTCTCTCTTTCTCTAATCCTCAATCTCCCGCTCTTCTCTCTCCTCTCCTTTCATTGCCGGGATAATTAGTTCTCCAGATAAGCTCATTGGTCGTGTGTGACGGCTCTTGTGCAGCTTAACACACCGTGACAGCCCGAGTGTGAGTGCTGTGTGTACATGCCTGAGTTTGCGTGTGTGTGTGGGGTCCTTGCAGGGTGTGTGGATGTACAGTTATAGTGCGTGGGTGATCTTTGTGCTCATCAGCATGTGAAAGGGAAGCTCGTCTCTGGAGGGGTGGCGGGGGGTCGGTTGGAGATAATGTGCCCCAGCCTGGAGCTCTCAGATGAGGACAGGGAGGGTGGCCAGCGTCTGCTGCTCTAATCGCTGGAACGATGGAGTGAAAGAGATCCGTTCCTGGGCTTTTCTGACTGCTCAAATCCCAGAGGTTGTGTATGTGTGTGTGTGAGCTCTCACACCCCCTCAGAGCCACGTGTCCCCCCCCGTGCTGCAGTGAAGCCCATCCCGTCCAGGCACGAGGCGACGGATAAAAGTAGCTCAGCCCACCGGTATTGTGCGGCCCCTTTTTTTTTTCTTCTTTGGGTTGACTCATCCGTGACATTCGCTCCAGCATCGCGCTCTCCTGCCTGCCAGCAGTACAATGCAGGTAGGAGTGTGTGTGTGTGTGTGTGTGTGTGTGTGTGTGCGTGTGTAATGTCAAGTCTGTCTGTGCTACCTGAGAACATGAGTGTGTGTGTGAGATGTCTGCAGATCTTTTCGTGCACTGGAGAATGTGTTACCAAGACTCCAGGTTTTGCATTATTTTTGGACTTCATATTCGACTTCCACCCTGAGATACAGATTTCCATTTTAAAAGTTGCATTCTATGACCTTAAAATATGACCCCCCTCATGGTTTATTCCGTCTCATATTTAATAGGAATGAGATCTTCTCTGCAATGTTCACTGCGGAATAAAATTTAGTCCATTGTTCTAGGAACCAGGGGGAGTCGCCCCCTACAGGCCAGCAGAAAGAAACTCCGTCTACAACACTTCCACATCGGCTTTACTTTTGGAACTAGAGGCCATGTCCACTTCTTATGTACAGTCTAATGGCGCTTACACACTTTTACAAAACTCCTACAGTTTTCAGGGTGAGCAAACACAGCCGCATTTTTCACTGACTTCATCTGGAGCTGTCTGGTATTTTTTTCCACATGCCGTCCGAGTGAGAACGCAATTTTTCTTAAATCATGTCTTGCCTCAGGACTCAGGAGACAACAACCCCCTCCCATCCAACTGAGACAGTCTGCCCCTGAGAGGTGCATGTGCGCACGACCAGATCAGGAGGCGATCAGGAGGCTTTCGGTGGGCAGTCCTCCAGAAATTCTTCAGAGGTCTATTTTGGATAACAGCTCCAGAGTGTCACTTTGTTTTTCTTGTTAAGTGAGCGGTCCATCTCTGACAGTGTAAGGTCGCCCGATGTGCACAAAGTATCACTTCTGTATCTGTGTTTGGGTGGGAACCCCCCCCCGTTCCCTATTCCTCTTCCTGCATCTTATCCCATCTCCCCCTATCCCACTTTCAAACCCGGCACAGTTCCGGTAGATGGCTGTTTCATCATGAGCCTGGATTAGCCCAAGATTTCTGCCTCTTAAAAGGAAGTTTATTTCTTGCCACACTAACTTTTGCTAAAAGTTGCTGAAGTGCTACACTCATGATAGATTAAGCTAGGTCTTTGTAATAAAGCAATAAGTAAGGTCTTTTACCCGCTTTTTGTAGAGAGTCTCGGGATAACACTTGTTATGAATTGGTATTATACTAATAAAGATTGATTGATGGATTGATGGATTGGGTAAAATATAATTAATTTGTTGTTTAGGTTGTCTTAAGTTCTCAATTTTGTGTCACTGGCAGCTGTTTTGTCAGTGTTTCTTCAAAGATATCGGAACAGCCTTTTGTGTTTACAGCTTTGGTTTTAAAAAGTAATGGATATTAAAGAAATTCCCTCTGAGAGTGACTTCATGGCTGCCTTTCAATCCCTCCATTGTCACTGAATTCACCTCATGAGTCTTCAAGGTTGCAGCCAGCCACGTTTTCCCTTTCAAACAACATTGATTAAAATGCAACACTCCCACACAAACATTGAGCCTGCACTCTGCAGATCTTCTGTCTCATGCCTCCTTCTGTTTTCTTCAATGTCAACACTCAGAAGAAAACCTTTGAAAGCACAAGTCAACACGTTTTCTGATAAAAGGTAAGCACACACGTACAAGGCTTTCAACAACTCCTTAAGAGGAGGGCAGCAGGGCTTCACATTCGCACACAATGCAGGCCTGTAAGAGGGAGATGCTGACGGTTTAGCAGGCACATGTTGATCTGGTTGTGTTAGTGTGGGTTAGTTTGTGTACCTGTGACAGAGGAGTCGATGCCGTTCTTTTCGCTGTGGCAGTCCTCCTGTCCGTCCGCATTCTGCTGCGTGTGCTGCAGACTCAGTTTGTGACAAACCTCAAACGCCTGGCCGACGGTCCGAACAATACGCATGGCCTGACTCTGTGTGGTTAGAGAGGGAGGAAGGCAGAGAAAGAAAGGCAATTGTGAGAATCTGTAGGTCACACAATCTGAACCCATTTTATGTTGCTTCTTCAGATTGAAGAAACTAAGAATATCTATCAAAGCTAAACAAATCTAAGACATTTTTTCCAGCTTCTTATTTTTTTCTTGGATCCTTTTTGACCAAGATTGACTTTTTTTAGTTGATGTTCATCTACTTTTTTTTTTTTTCAACCCAGTACTTTTTTTTAGAGGTATTTCAAACAAACCAGAAGCTGTAAAATAGAGGCGCACCTTCTGATCACAAGAATCAGAGCATTTTCAACCTGTTTAGCTGTAATTGGTGTCCAGCCTGATAAATTTTGCCGATTCTGAGACAATCTCGGATTCTCACAGACAAGCTGCAAGTTTCACGTCATGCACAAGGCGAAAACAAACACAAACACCACAGCCATCCACACATGAGCTAACACGAGCTAACGACAATGTGGACGTGCATAGTGCACACTGTGTGCAGTATAATCGTGTAGAATTCAATAATATAGAAGAGAAAGGTGTATTGAAGATGCGTCTTTACTTAGAGAGAGCAGGCGATAAATACACAACAGTACAGAGCATGTGTTGGTATTGGAAACCCAATTTTTTATGTTTGCCAACATGAAGAAACCTCACAACTGTGTCTGTATATTAAAACCACCAGCTGGCAAAACTACCACTCTACTACTATTGTTATGTACTATTTATTTTATTTTGAAATGTGTTTTAAAAAAAGTATTTTTTGGGTTAAAATAAAAACCTGTTTCATACATGTGATATACTTAATTTTCCGTTGTAGGTTATTTGTTCAAAAAGCTATGTCCAGGGGCTCAGATGGCCTAGTGGTGAGGTTTCAGCCCATGTACTGAGGCCGTTAGTCCTCCAGACGGGTGGCCCGAGTACGAGTCCGGCCTGTGGTTCCTTTCCTGCATGTCATGCCCCACTCTCTCTCTCCCTGAATTCCCACACTATCTACTGTCCTGTCATATCCACATGAAGGCAAAAAGCCAATTCAAAACAACTATGTCCCATAGTTCTTTATTTTGAAATATTTTTGAGTGAGAATTAGAGATGGTCACATAACCTGGTGGGTTTTTTTTTTTTGCTTACAAATATAGTTCTTCTAAAGAAAAAGAAAATTAGAATCGGGCAAAATCGTGATCGAAATGTCAGACCTTGAAAAATCTGCTCCTAGAATCGGCCAAAGAAAATGCAATTGTGCACGTCTAGCTTGAATCACATCCCTCATGTACAGGTACAGCGACTTTTTGCAGCAGAGGCACGTGCAGCCTGGATTCAGATTTCCCCAGAGACATGTCGATTTTGTAACAGACACAGTAATCAGGGAACGCAGCGCAATCATGTATAGGTCACAGCGCTGATTTAGTGACACATGGCCCATTGTTGTCATCTTGGGCCTCAGGTAGAGGTGGCTGTCTGTGTTTACTTTCCAAACTCAATGAAACATAAAAAAAAAAACACGATTTCTCTTTCTGACTGGCTTCTCCCCCCTTTGTTCTCAGGTGCAGAGCTGCATGTGTCTGTTATCTCTGCTCCTCTTTCCGCCCCGCTCTGAAAAAAAAAAAAAGGCCAGTCAAGTGAAAGCAACTTCCGTCTGTTATCAGCCCCCGCTCTCGCCCGGCTCGTCACAGCGACGAGGTGCAGACGCAGAAAAAAGACTTCATTTTAAGGCGCTGAGGCCTAGCAGCCGAACAGCACTCATCCTCAGCTGAATGAGCAGAACAGATTCAGCGTGGGCTAAGAAGCATGCTGAAGGACAAAACCCTTTTTCTCGTCCTGGTTATCAACTCTAAACCAGAATGAAGCATGAAAGCCTTCAATCCAGATCTCTATCAGAACACTGCTTAACTCCAGGGTTAGTATCAGATGAGGATTTGGGAACATCTGGATGTTTTATCTTTATTAAAAAACTTCAACTGATTTGGCAGCGTCGTATGTTCCCAGTGCCCGGACTTGGTGAGGTTTAGCTGAAGTCTTTCTCACAATGTCGTCTATCATTATTTGATCTTTTCATTAAAACATGCGGCCTCAGATTCAATTTTTTTGCACATGTTTCCATGATGACAAGGCAAAAGCAGCTACTATCAGTAAAACAGGAGTATACTGTATGTGAGAAATGTGCTCCATATTTTTCAGATTCTTGCACAAAATGAACTAGGGTTTCAAACAACCATGACTCAGCAACTTTGATGACCTTCACTTTGTAGCGTTTAGTGACCTTAACTAAAAGTTACTGACCTAACGCTTCCGCCTCGAAAAGTGATGAAACTTTTCACGGCTGCATGGAATCCAAATTCATGGATATCTTTTCAAAATCAAGCAACCAAGACTTAATTTCTCAACATAGGAACTACACGGTATCCAAATTGGATAGAGGGCATTTGCACCGTGTTTCTAATGTTGTTCCAGCTTGAACCGATGAACTGAAAATTATATTAACACAATCAGGGAAAGTTCCAAAAAGTAAAGTTTGTACACATGGATACCACAACTTTAATCTTTGTTTCGCACAAGTGAGCAGATAGAGCGGATAGATAAGATAATGATTGGCACTTGAAGAGAGATGATTCAAGACAAGACATGAAACTAAAAGTCAATATAAAAATACATGAAATATAAAAGGCTTTACCACAACTTGCATTTCTTACGGTGGACAGGATGAAAAAAAAAACAACAACATTTCCTTCTTGAGAAACTTTTCTATCCTTCACTCGTCTTTCCCTCTTTTTCCTCCGACCTGTTGTTCTATTTTCATGCTGTGCTTCTTCTCCTTCATCTTCCATCAATCACCCCCATGTCTCCCCCCGTCGTCCTCCTCTATCTTTGTGGACCTTCATTTCACATCGTTTCACCCAACACTGTTCTCCAGCCTGACTCATGCTCTCCTTTGAAGACGTGGAGGCAGACGTATAACCTTTGAGAGAGCATGCTGGTGTTGTTGCACCAACTGAGCCCACCAACGTATCGAGCTCCCCCCTGACTCATGAACTCACTCATCAGGAAACACACTGTCACGAGTCTGAATCTCTTTCTATTCCTTCAGACCCCTTCATCATGTCTATCTGACAATCTTCCGTTTGACCCTTTTCAAATTAAACCTGTTGATTTGTGCCGAAAAATAGATCAATTAAGATATATTAAAAATGTATCATTTCTAAAATATTGTGCTTCTCCAATTTTTCCCTTGATATATTTCAGGTATTTGTTGATTTTGATGGTTTTCTGTTTAACGTCTTAATTCACCTAGAAGTAGAAACAGTTTGATGAGTCCACTTCATATTGATTGAGTGTCCAAAAACAGCAGTTACATCCAGGTATCATCCATTTGCTCTCCTGTCAGAGTTGCTGCCTATGTCTCCCCTATGTATCCTGCTCCGTCTAACAGCCACCCCTGGGCACATTACCCACCTCCCCCTGATTTCTCATGAGTCATCTTGTTTCATATACTCCTCCGCTAGAATGTCTCAGTTTGTCCTTGCTGGTTTTATTGCTCTCCAGCAATTTCAACTGGTGTTCTCTGCAGTTTTTTTTTTTTTGTTTAACTTTGTCTTGTTTTTTTCCATAGTTTTGCCAATTCCCTGACTGAATTTTTATCTGTTTTTGGACTGTTCCCCTAATCACTACTGTCTGGTCTGCAAGTTAACGCTACGCTCTTCGAACCTCACCTTGCAGTCTCTGCGTCTGACTCACCAGTATGTCCAGTAATATTACTAAAGATGAGTATTGTCTGCAAATATATAGGTCATTGTATGTAAGTCTGTGACAAAACAAAACCCTGAAAATTCAATAGTTGGTTGGTACTTACCAAAACTTAACAAAACTGATTCAAGTTACAATTAGGAGTCAGACGATTTAGAGGTCAACACTATTAAATTAATATCATGTAAAAAAGCTTTCAGAAACTTTGATTTTGTAACTAATGATTAAATAAAGATTTATGAGTCCACGCGAAGGGCAGGCAGCCTCACCACAAAGCTTGATCTTTGGTAGTGTAAGCAGCAGACAGCCTCTTAATTTAAGTGAGAGGTCAGGGACAAATCTCTGCAGGATTTCAACAATACAGGGAAGGGCCAGTGTAAGAATAAAAAAATAGCAGAATATATCCTAAAAATACCTCAGTGCTGGTGCAAGGATTTGGATGTGAGCTCCCTGTAAAACTCTGCCAGCAGCATTTTTTAAAACAGTTTTACAGACTTTTTTTTATTTTGGCATACTGCAGAGAAATGTGTTACATTATTTAGACCTAATTGTAATGAAAGCATGCACAAACTTTTTCACCAGGAGTAAGAAAAGCTTGGACTTTGCAAAGGTCTCTTAATTACAGAGAGATGCTCAGCTTACTTTTTCTATGAGACCAGAAAACTCAATCAGAATCCATGAAAAAATCCTGGCATGTGATGAAATACGCTGAGATAAGGGGGCTAATCAGTAGTCTCTATCAGGACTTCTCCCTTTGATTTGTTGGACCAATAATTAGGGCTTCAGTTTTGTCCCGTTTGAAGTGGGTCAGGACAACTTTTGGGCAAATTGCAAATCAGTAAACCTACCGTCATGAGGGGAAACAGTGAAACTGTCAGCACAAGATGTAAAACAGCTTTGTCCATTTGTGTGAGTCCAGAAAAACACTCAACATTTGAGTTAATGATGTCCTTTTCTGGTTGAATAAGCAAAATAGCAAACAAACATAGTCCCATTTTTGTTTGGAAAGAGCCACCAAATATGATTTCTTTGTACTCTTGTTCGTGAATTTCGACTGCTTACATCGCCGTCGTCACATTGAGATTTTGCCCGATTGAAATTCATGGATCTGTTCCTTTATTTGAATCGTTTGATTGATCAAATATATTGCCTCGTGGTAAAACACTTAGCAACACGACACAATTATTTTATTGCTTGGCTGTTTTTGAACTTAACATCTACACATGAAGGAGGCTGTTTCAACA